TATTATTATTTAGTGTCCCTGCAGACGACAGGTCCATATATTATGAACAGGATCCTTCCATTCTTTTCTCGGACTGGGACCTGTTCATATACGTTCTTGGCAGATGATCCAGAAGTGGTTTGCCATTGCCTTCTTCTGTGTGTGAGTGGAGTAATTGTTGGAATGCCACGGAGAAACCGGGGAAGCCCCCGGAGAAAAACTCCGTGATGCCTAGACCACGGCCTTGCCCAATACAAATTATAAATCTGAGCACCACCGGGAATTGAACCCGAGACCCCAGGCTTACAAGGCTAGTGTTCTGACCACTAGACCACCGTGTTTAATTACTATAACACCTCCAAGACAACGTAAGCCTTCAGCTTCCAATATGTGTTGTAAATAAAGCTTGTTGCTATGCACCACACACAAAACAGTCGATACCGTAGTTTTACTGACCTGAGATAAGCAGTCATCAGCATTTGAATGAGCCTGAAGCTCAATGCCCAAATTCTTGTGAACATATTTGGTGTCTTTTTTAGTGTCAACAGGTGGCAGGTACGGCATCTTTATCGTTTTCCTCTTCACATCTTTCCAGTCTATATTCTGTGGGATGAAGCATAACATCAGTCATATGGACAGAATGCTAACTGCAGAGTAAACCGTGGTAAGGTAGAAGTGAGAACGCCTCAGTTTAAAAGACTATTCAGTTGTGCAGAAAGAACGAGGATTTTGAAATGCAGTCTTCTGCTTGAATTATTTAACAGCAGTGCTTTTACTGGGAGGTATAATTGAGGACGTCTAATAATGCCTTCAGGGTCTTATGTAAGTTGCAATTGTATGGCATATACTGATGGTCCTTCTGAAATTCTGATCTGACTGTACATTATGCATTGTCTTCCTAAACCTTTTCCTGTGGTCTTACTCTACGTACTGCCAGTGTTAAGCTTACGAGATTCATTAACTTGTTCTCTGGGGATGTAAATCACACTTACCACTTGCTCAAGTTTTGAAAGAATGAAATAATCTAGAAACAATATTTTTTTTCATCGTATATGGTCGAGCTTGACCGTCATGACTCCTTTTGGGGTTTTCTTGCAAAGTTACCACGGTGGTTTCGCCTTGCCTTCCGTGGCCAGTCTTTACCCACCGGACTGGAAGAGGAGATGCGGACAAACTTCCATGCCTAGAGTGGGACTCGAACCCACGGTCGCAGCGGCCAGGCGCACGAGGACCATGGCACAGACCGTGTGGCCACTGCGTCGGCCAGAAACAATATGAAGAATCTCAAATAGTGTAGATGTTTCCTCTGTGGTTGATTTTCTTAGTGCATGGACAAAGTACAGTTTAGAACTGAAAGATGTATATATAACCTATTATTATATGATAAAAGATATTCAAATAGAACTCACATTAAAAAATGGATGCTTCATGATATTCTGCCCACCGTTCTTCTCCGATGTTAACCGTTTTGATGGATTTTTCTCCAAAAGTTTTTTGATAAAATCTGTCCCTCTGTATGAGAAATATGAAGGGAACTCTGGGGGGTCGTGGATAATTTTACTGTAAAGGAAAGGCACGTTATTATATTTGCCATTAAATTTACTTGTTAAACGTGTATTCACTATAAATTTGTATAATGCCTCTCAAAGTTATTTTAATTGGCCTCTTTAATGTCTGAACTGCATAGAGATTTGTGACAGGCCATACAAGAGAGAGGAAAGATGGTCTTTGTGAAATGCTATGCACTTACTGATAGAGTGTTGTCACTATTTCTTTACTTTCAATTGTAAAGGGCCTGTACCCAGCCATCATTTCATAAGCTATGATCCCCATGCTCCACCAGTCCACTTCCTGCAACAATTCAAATTAGAGGCAACACTTGCAATTAGTAATTCTCACTTGTTCACACTCGCACAATTTCAAGAGGATCTTGGGGAAAAAGAAAAATTGTGGTATGAAATGTGTTTTCCGTTTCTTGGCTCCACGTTTATTTGGAATATTCCTATGAATGATAAAATCTCTTTCTTCACTTATTTCAAGTAGAGGTGTATCAAGGACTCTATGTAAATTCTGTCATTGGGCACCACTTCGCCAGAACTTGATGGGAGGATAAGATATGCAGTGACTGCAGTTGCCTTTGAATTCATCCGTCTCGCACTTGTCTTTTAAATTCCATTTTCTGGCAAACATGTATTACAATTATTTATTTTAATCCGTCTGATCACAATATTTAAAATTTCTTATAATTAAGATAATAAAATATCATTCATGTTCCATATCGATTGATCGATTTACATTTCGGAACATTTACACAACATGTTTCGGTTTTTATAAAACCATCATCAGGTGTAAAATATATCTAAGAACTTAAAACTCAATTATGATTTCTGTAGTACTGACAGTATTGACCCACACCTATTCGAAGACACTAGTACTTCTGGACATATCGGGACACTCACTCCTACATCTTTGGCCGATATGTACATCTAATAACATTTAAGAAAAACAACACCTTCGCCCAAAAATGGAAAAACAAACGTAATGAAACATCACCAAAAAAAACTGCAGAAATCATAATTGAGTTTTAAGTTCTTAGATATATTTTACACCTGATGATGATTTTATAAAAACTGAAACATGTTGTGTAAATGTTCCGAAATGTAAATCGATCAATCGATATGGAACATGAATGATATTTTATTATCTTAATTATAAGAAATTTTAAATATTGTGATCAGACGGATTAAAATAAATAATTGTTATAATATTCACAATATGACACAATTACACTATCTTATTAAACATGTATTAGTCATCGTGCCAGATGGCAGGCAGGTGTCTGCATAAAATTCAGTTTAAAGTTTCTACCACATATATTGTATACTAACTAGTTTATGAATATGTCATTATGAACTCCATGGAGTTATTAATTGTGGCTCCAAACCCTCAGATTATTATAATGCGATGTTTCATTATACAAGTAATACATAAAACAGTGAAATCATTATCTTTATACTGTCAAGGTATAACATACTTACCACACTGTAACCTTTGCGTTGAACCATCTCTGGAGCCATATACTCGCTTGTACCACACAGTGCATGACCACGTCTGTTCTGCAGATATAAACATTTTAAATAATTAAGGCAGGAATTTGAGATAACGCAACTAGAAACTAACTCTCTTGTAAACAGAAGCAAAACTTTGAGCAAGGCTAATACTGAAGTCCACCACTGGACATACACAGTCCTAAGCCAGTTCCATTTATGACCTGACCTCTTAAGATCCGTTTTAATTCTGTATTCTCTCTTTTTCAGAATTTTCAAACTTCGTACTTTCCAAGAGGTTTACCGTCCCATACTCTGAAGTGTTTCTTTTCCCAAAAATATTCCACAGATTTTTTCTCTCCCTACATGTCTGGCCGATTTTAAGTAATCTCCTTAATTTCACTATCCTATATCCTAACATTATGCAGGGAGTTGTATGAACTATGAATTTTCTCATAATATAATTTCTAATATAGTCCTTTGCTGTATCCCTATTTGTTTCCAGTATAACCCTTTATTTTAAATACTTGTTACTGAAATATTTCCCCCACAGATTTATATGTTATATATTTAATAGCTGGCATACTAACTGGGAAGCATAGTCACGACGGACGCCCTATGCACCAAGGAAGTAAAAGCAAGGATAGCCATGGCCAAGGCAGCTTTCGTCAAGAAGAGGATACTTCTCACTAGCAAGTTGGGCTTGGAGATGAAGAAGAAACTAGTGAAGTGTTACGTATGGAG